CTAGGGTATTTAATATTATTGGATTTTTAAAAATCATGCAGACCATTCAAGGACACGGCGCTGTAAATCCGTGAATGCATTGTATTGTGTTGTAAGAGGACTCAGGACTCTTTGACAAATGGACCATTTTGGCCCAAAGTAACACAAGGAAGGAACAAGATGAGTTTTCTTGGCCTAAAGTTCCTCGTGGCTTTCTGGGAGTTTGTGTGATTTATTTAAGACCAGCTAAGCCGTGGGCCTGCAATGTGTCCATTTAGAGAAAGGGCCTGTGCCAAACTTAGGGTCAAAGTTCTCACTCTGCTTATGCTGACCCCTGTCACCTGCCCTAACCAAAAAAGGTTCTCAGATGTGAGCTCAACTCTGTCCAGTGACGGCAGAAAAAAATATATCTGTTGCCAGAAAGTGGATTCTCTGGTGTTGAAGAATGATCCTTATTTATGTCTGCATAGGTACATTCTGGGGCCCATAAAGGTTTAATTGTCCCTCTAACTAGTTTTTTAAAAAACCCACAAAGAGGCTGCCAGCTTTCCCCAGAGTTTAAAACCAACTGAATGCGGTTCTGTGGAAACTGCTTTAAGTGTGTAACTCGCGCCGTGTCCCAGGGCACAAGGCACGATTGTTTTGGGGACTCCAAAGATGCAGCTCTCAGGAGGACTTTTGAAGTCAGTTTTTGTGACTGCTGCTGACCCTGGGTTGCTCTGCAAAGAGAGCGAGAGAGAAACTTCTTCATCCAAGATTTCTCCCGTGGTACCACTGCCCCCTACTGCCACCTTCCGGTTCAGGGGATACCTCAGTGTCACAGGACCCTAGATGTCATTCCTTTTCTCCTGAGAGAGCTAGATATTTCCACAAAGGTCACTCATGCAAACAAACGTGATACCGAAATGTGATGAGCGCTATGAAGAAAAAGTACAGGGTGTTGAGAAAAGCTAACGGGGAGCCATGGAAGTTTCTCTGAGGAAGTCAGGCCTTATAAGTTAGATCTGCAGGATGAGAGGGAGTCAGGGAGGTGAAGGAGCTTTGTTTGAGCAGGGAGAAACATACTAGATGGAAGGACCAGTATGTGCAAAGACCCTGAGGCAGGAAGGAACAGAGCATGTTAAGATGTGGCTGGAGAAGTTGGCAATAAACACAACTTCCAGAATCTTCTTTGTCCTCTACGTTGAGCCTCCTGTCCCTTAAGATTTGTGATGGTTTCCCCATCCATCACACACACTTTGCTTTAGGCTTCAAAGAGCCACCTCCAGACGGCCCCAAGATTACCTCCACCCTTCTCAGACTCCACTTGGGGTCTTGTGAAGAAAACACATTTGTCAAGCGACTAAAGCAAATAGTTTTGACATGCGGTTCTGTACCGTTAGGGAGGCCATAGTGAAGTCAATCCCAGTTTACATGACTCCAAATGGTTCCATTTAAATGTCCCACCCTGTATTTACACATCCCTACCACTTTAGTTGGCTGTTTATCTTCCAGTGTACTCTACTCTGCTTGTAGTCTAGGCCTCTATTTAACTCCATCCCTTACTTTTTCCATCTCATGACCTATCATTTACATTTTTTTTCTTTAGGAAATGTAAATATTTATTTACAGCATTAGCTTTTACTCTTGCATTGCTCTATACATTATGGAGTAAACAGACTGTGATATGGGTTCTACTACTGAATTTTCCATAAATTGGTGGTGACCTTAGCCAAGTCATTTAACCTCACTGAGCATAAGATATGTCTTTGTAAAATGAGATGTTTTTCCTTTTTGTTTTAGCTAGCAAATCTGTATCCGGGATTTCTCTTAAAGTCTGTGATTCTATATCTTTTACATCTTTGTCTATCCACCTCTCTTTCATGATGTCTTTGCAGGTCAGACTTTCTGTATAATTTGGTTTTTAGGGGTAGTGTGCACAGAATAGAATTTGACAAATGAGAATAAATCATACTATTGAGATTGGGTTTAAGCTCACATGTATGGGGAATGGTTGAATAGTAGAAAATTCTAGTTGCAGGCTTGAAATTCTCACAGGTTGCTTTTCAAACTGGGGTGTGGGTACCCACAGGGTACAGAAGCATGACAGTGAGTATAGGAAGCCCTTCTCTCTAGAAAAATAATTCTACTCAAAGATTTGAGAAGGGGAAATCTCCCCTTCAAATATGCTTTGCATATTTGTATAAACATGGAGAGTATTAAAACATACATGGATATATTATGAATAGAAGATAAAAATCACATGACATCTTAGTATAAAAAGGGAGCCATAGGCTGGACAGCTTTGGGATTACTATAGTGTGAACAGAAACATGGCTTTTACTTCTGTTTTTGAGTTGCTGGAGAAATACTTGCCTTATGGGTCTTTTGAGGTATGTGCACTTTAATAGGGTAAAGGTGTTAGATTACCAAGGAGGAACATTCCTGCTAAATAATTGACATATGTAGGAAATCCAATTTCAGCCAGGGTCTTGGAGGTTGAGGGAGAGTCTGGCTGGACAGAAGACCTATCTCCAAAGACCAAGTGAGGTACAGAATCTTGCAGTACTGGCCAAAGGCTGGGCTTGAACTGATCCAAACACCTGGATGATCTCTCCCCCTCTATGTGACCTCCAGTAGACCTTGTTTGTACCCTAGCCCTGGTGCTTACAATGCCATTAAATGTTAGTTTTATTTTCTTGCATGTAGGTTTCTCAGAGTCAGGCAGATGGTGTGAATTAAGAAAAAGTATGTGATCAAGAGCCAAGACCTTCTTACCTTGTGATTCTTGCTTACTCCCTGAAATCTCAGATCCCATTTGCTCACCTATTAAATGGTCCAATATAACACCTACCTTGCCTACTGAATAGCTAGGCTTGTGTTCAGAGCGTATGGATTTGCAATGTAAAAGGACTGAGTAAATCATTAAACCAAAATCAGTGATTAACTAAGACCCCAAAGGGAAGGAGGGTATATCTCTCACATTATCTTTCTATTCCCCCAACCTCTAACTTTTGCCTGGTTAGTTCTGATAAGTATTAGTGATAAAAGATCATGAAATGCTGTACCTAGTCTGACCCTGGGAAAATTCTAATTTGTGTTCTCTGCTACCCCCAACTCTTTTTCCTCTTCTATCTGCAGTTTCCCACCCCCATGTTCTGCACAACTTTCGTCCTACTGACTATCCCTGAGAATTGGATATTAAGAGCACACTATTTCATTGATACAAATGAACTGTTAGGGGAATTTCAGGCATCATTAGGGAGAGTTTTACAGCAATCCTTTTTTGTGGGGGGTAGGAACAAATTGGTATTAATTTATAAGCTTTCTCCCAGACATTAAACTGCCCAAACAGATTCCTGGATGTTTTTTAAAGAGAAATTAACTGCCCAGTCTAAATACCTCTCTCATAATAATGAAGCGACTATTTACTGAAGTGGCTGGTGGACATACATTCTTCTCAAGAGCACATGGAACATTCTCCAAGGTAGATCGCATGTTAGGGCATAAAACAAGGCTTAGTAAATCTAAGTCAAGTATATTTCCTGACCACAGTGGTATGAACTAGAAATCAGTAACAGCATGAAGGCCAGTCTGCCTCACAATTGATCCTCTAAGAGAAATGTCAGGAAAGGGCAAGGAGGAGGAAGGTTAGTTTGAGATATTCTTTGGGTGAACGGTAACTTTCTTCCTTTCCTGGGATTGAACCCAGGGGTGCTAAACCATTGGGACACATCCTTGGCCCTTTTAATATAATATTTTTAAAATATTTTCTTTAGAGACAGGGTCTCACTGAGTTGCACAGGGCCTCGTTAAGTTGCTGAGGCTGGCTTTGAACTCTCAATCCTCCTGCCTCAGCCTTCCAAGTGTCTGGAATTATAGACATGCACCACCACTTCCAGCTAATTCAGTTTCTTAGGCGATACTTTATTTTTTTAAGTTAAAAAACAAAAACAAACAAGCAAACAAAAATACCTTTTATGATAAGAAATCAGGTCAGTAACGGAGAGGGGTGGGAGAATGTGGAAATGTCATTTTCAATTTCTCTCCCCAAGGGGCAGGGATTGGGGGAAGGGGAGACACTCCGGGTCCTCGCATCATTCCAGAAACCACAGATCAGACTCAGAATCAGGAGAGGACGGTGATCTGAAGCCAAGGAGCACGAGGGCCGGCCCCCAGGTCTCAGGGGAGCCCCTGGCAAGCCATCTTGCGGGAAGAGCCTGAACGCCCCCAGCCCACCTCCCGCCCTTACAGCTTTGCAGATGACTGACCCCGGGCCAGACACCGTCCTGCTATCGCAGTGGGCGGAGGGTGCACTGAAGCAACAGCCCTCCTGGGTGTGGTGGTGCTTCTCCTCGGGCGTGTGCACAGCCTGAGGGAAACCCACAGACTGCTCGCCCCGAAGTAGTTCCAGGTGATCTTTTCCAGCGGGGCGCGAGCGGGTCGGCCTGGTAACCGGCGGCCTCGCAGGCGTCGAACTGGCGAGGGAGCACGAGCCTGCAGCTCCTGCCTCGGCGGGTTGCGGGTGGCCAGCAGCCAGTGCCCCGCCCGGTTGCCCCGGGCGACCTCGACGGTTTGTTTTCGGAGCGGGACCCTCCCACGCGCGCCCCTGGCCAGCGGCGGGGGCGTGCGCCTCGTGGGCTTCGTTGTCTGCGCGTCTCCGCGCGGCCGCCCCCGCCCCGCCACCCCCGCCGCGGTGGTTCGGTCCCGGACGCGAGGCAGGAGGCGGCCACCGGAGCCGACGCCAGAGTGGGCGGCCAGCGGCGGGGAGAAGGTGAGAGGCTGCGGCCCGACCCGAGCGGGGCGCCCCGGAGAGGTGGTCCCCGGCGGCGGAGAAAGGGGCCTGGCCGCCCCGCCGCCCGGGGCTCCTGGTCTCAGCCCTGGGCTGGCCTGTCCCCCTGGGCGCCCCAGCTCCTGGAGGCTGGTTGGACCCCCGAGGAAACTCTGAAGCCGCCGCCCTGGCCTCAGGACCCCCTTGGCGGTCGGGGAGCCCCCTCCCCGTCGCCAACAGCACACCATTTCTCCCCCACCCAGATACCACCAGCAAAATGCCCGACATCAAGGAGAATGTGCCCCCAAAAGAACCTGGCAGAGGCTCCTGCGAGCCCGAGACCTCAGAACCGACCCAGGAAGACGAGAACAGCTCCCAGGACAACCCTTCGCGTAGGTCCAGGTCCCCGAGACCCTTTGGGGTGCCCCGTGTGGGTCCGATGGATCGCAGGGAGCCTGCCGGCTGGGCTGCAGCGCCATTGAGGGGACCACGTTGAGGGAGCCCCAGGTGCTCTCTGGCGCCCTCTTCTCCCCCCTGCGCCTGTCCCTGTCCCTGTCCTGTCTTCACTTACAGGCCTAGGCCCTCTGTGGACTAGAGGGCTTCAGAGAGTCACATCTCCGAGAAAGAAGCCACGTGGGATTACTTGAATCTAAGATTTGAGGCTGAGTCAGTTCTAAGCCATCTTTGGAACTTGAGTGGAAAATGACAGATATCTGGGGTTAATTTTTAAAAGAAACCTCAAATTCCCTAGATGGGAATTGTGTTTTTTAGGTACTTTGTTGGCCTGAAGTGATGCTGTCCTAGGCTCATACGCAAGCTCTGCACCCTGTAGATAGGTGTCCTTTGGTGTTCATATCAGGTCACCAGGTCTCTTCCACACTAACTGATACGTCAAACCTCATGGAGTCTCAAGCCATCAGTTTGAAGGGCTGCCCACGTGCAACAACTTGAGCTAAAATTCGTGAAGATGGACAATGGGAAAATTTAGTTCGCACTGAAGTTAAATTAGACTCATTTCTCTTATGACCACTCGGGGTCGCTGCTGGTTAACAAAACGCACCCAAAAGGCGCACCGGCGCGCATTGGACAGATGGGACCCGATGGGTGAAAGATTTTTTTTTCCTTACAGTGATTATTTAAGTGAATCCCTAGGTGAGATAACTCACAGTAAAGTGAATAACCATATTCTTTCAAAACATTTTTTTAAATTTTGTATATTTTGACTAGGTTAAGTTACTATTTTATCTTGAAAAATTCTTTGTCCTTGGAATTGTTTTTGTTTGTTTGTTTGGTACCAGGGATTGAATTCAGGGGCACTCGACAACTGAGCCACATCCCCAGCCCTATTTTATATTTTTTAGAGACAGGGTCTCACTGAGTTGCCTAGTGCCTCACTTTTATTGAGGCTGGCTTTAAGCTTGCTGCTATCCTCCTGCCTCAGCCGCCGGAACTGCTGAGATTACAGGTGTGCACCACCACCCCTGGCAGCATCTGGATTTTTAAAAATCTATTTTAGTCACATTTTTATCTCTAATTATTCTTGAACCCTCTTTCCTGAATCTTAGAGCGTTCCTAGAATGGCTTAGTGCTGTACTTGTGAATAACTGAATAGTCTTTCAAGGCTGGCTGTGAACTTTGATTTGTTACAGGGAGAAAATCCTTTAGTAAACTATTGTGGCTAATTCTCATTTAGCATTATAATTTAGCAGAGATTCTGCATATTTGTGTTTTGCCATTTTGACTGGAACTTTTTCTTAAGAGAAGCTGTAAAAATCGAGGGAATTTCGCCCACCCACTTGATGGTTCAGCTCAACTTTGTTCACCTAAGACTGAAATTTTTTATAAATGTCTAGAATCACATTTTCCCCTTAACTTTTTGGTTTGAAATACTTCAAATTTGTTGAAAGTTAAAAAAGTGAACACTTACATTACTTTTCTCCAATATTGCCTTTTTTCTCTCCGTATCTGTATTTTCTCCCCTATACTGTCCCAGAGACTCCACTTTACCTCTAAAACTTTATCATGTTTCTAAGAAGGGCACTGTCTTGTGTAAATTCTTTTCTATAATAACTTTTCTTTTTACATTTTAAAATCTTTGACTATAGGAAATTTTTATAAAAGCAGAACTAATATAATGACCCACCTCCATTTACCCATCACCCAGCTTTGACAGTTATCAGTTCACAGCTAGGGAGGCTGAAGCAGGAGGACAGCAAGTTGGAGGTCAGCTTCAGCAATTTAGTGAGACCCTGGCTCAAAATAAAAAAAAAAAAAAATGGCTGTGAATGAAAAGTTTCATTGGTGGAGGGCCTCTGGCTTGAATCCCAGTACTGCAGTGAAATGGGAGGACTAGAACTGTGGTTTCCAAATGCTGGTGCTGGTCTGTGACAAGATTCTTAGCAATATGAAATTATTATTAGCCCAAGGCATGGTAGTGCATGCCTATAATCTCATCTACTCTGGAGGCTGAGGCAGGAGGATCACATGTTTGAGGCCAGCCTTCAGCAATGTAGCAAGACTCTTTCTCAAAAAATGAAAAGGGCTGGAGATGTGGTAGAGTGACCCTCAATAATCTGTACCAAAAATAAAATAATAATAATAATAAATATATATGTACATATATATATGATATGTTATTGGCAATGAAATCATAAAGAGATTGTAATGACTTTTCCTAAAACTAAAAGTGAAATTGATTCAGCTTTAATTGCTCTTTATTTTGACAATTTTTTTTTTTTTTAGATTAAATGATCCTTTCTTTTACAAAATAATTTTGGCATACTAGAGGGGAATTTTTTTTACATTTATTTATTTATTTTTAGTTGTACATGGGCACAATATCTTTATTTTATTTATTTTTATGTGGTGCTGAGAATGAAACCCAGTGCCTCTCGCATGCTAGGCAAGCACTCTGCCACTGAGCGACAGCCCCAGGCCATAGAGGGGAATTTTTATTGCTTGTTTTTGCTTGTCCATAGTTGGTAAAGTAAAAGTTGGAAAGTTGTTGTCAGTTGCTTAAAATATTTTTGGAAATTTTATTACTCTGTGAAATTCTAAAATCTGGGAACTACTGCCTTAGAAGACTAATTGACACTGGCACTGTTCAGTGACATCTGAGTGTCATTTCCAGTGGGAATCTGGCTTTCATCTTTGGCAGGTAGCAGCAGAGGCAGGAAGTGAAAGGACTTTAACACATCAGTGTTTATTCTCTACAAATCATAAGTTGTTTCTTTGCAGTTTTGTGATTTTACTTTTTTTTTTTTTTTTTTTTTTGAGACACTTGGAATTGAACCCAAGGCTTCATACATGCTAGGCAAGCACTCTGCCTCTGAGCTACATTGCCAGTCTTTTTTTTCCATTTTATTTTGAGATATGATCTTGCTTAGTTTCTCGGGCTGGCCTCCAGTTTGCAATCCTCCTGTCTCAGCCTCCTAAGTAGTGTGATTTTAAGAGAATGAGAGTGTGATTTTTTTTTTAAGAGAAAAGTTTTTAGTTAGTTTCACTTAATTTTTTTTTTTAGAGAGAGAGAGAGAGAGAATCTTTTTAACATTTATTTTTCAGTTTTCGGTGGACACAACATCTTTATTTTATGTGGTGCTAAGGATCGAACTCAGCGCCCCGCGCATGCCAGGCAAGCGCATTACTGCTTGAGCCACATCCCCAGCCCTAAATTTTTTTTTTTAATTTCTCTCTCTCCCTCCCTCCCTCCCTCTCTGTCTCTCTCTCTCTCTCTCTCTTTCTATTTTTACATGGTGCTGAGGATCAAACGCAGTGCCTCACATGTGCAGGCAAGCACTCTACTAGTGAGCTACAGCCCCAGCTCTCACTTAATATTTTTTTTTAATAAACTAGCCTCTTTATCTTTTCCTTTCCCCTTTTGTTGGACTACCCTAAGAGTTTCCAGCACTGTCATAGGGCAGGGAGTTCAGAAAACATAAATAACTAGTATGTGAGTGAATCTGTTGTTATAACTTTGAGGCCTACTACCTTGAGCGAATCTCTGAATAAAATAGAAATTCAAACTCTTCGTGGGTTCACTTTTGTCCACCCTAAGTACTTTCAGTTTCAGATCTGACAGAGACAATCAATGAAGTTTCCAAGATGAGCAGCGAGATTGGATTGAATCGTGATTTCCATGGGGAGGAAAATTTGCCTTCAAACAGGTATGGATTCTCCTGCTTTCTCCATTTTGTTCACCCCAGCATCAGGGTTCAGCACTGATGGCTTCTGACCAGATTCAAAGCATGTTTGGTAATGATACACTTAGCGTTTGTGTTATAATACAGAAGATCAAGCCGTAATAGCATTATTAGTAAGAAGCAAATGTTATTTAACCAGCAAATAAATGGAATAACTAGCTGGGTGCATTTCAGATCTTCTCTGACAGACTTGAGGAAGGAGCCTGGCACTCGGCAAGCTTGGGGTTTGGGAGCATTTTTTGATTTCAGACTGAGAATGTTCAACCTGTATCATGATTTACAGAAGAATATTCACATCTCAAGAGCACCGAGAAAGGATTTGAGCGTTTCCAAGGAGTTTGAGGTGTGTCAAAGGAGGATTTAACATGGATGTCAAAGTAACAGTCTTAGAAATTCATCACAGGATTTTACGATGAAATACAGAGTCTAGAAGAAAATCCAGAAGCCTATACAACACAACCAGCTGAATGCCAGAAAGTTGCATATTAGTAACTGTTTAGTTGCAGGTGGACACAATATCTTTATTTATTTATTTATCTGTCCTTTCTTTTATGTGGTGTTGAGGATGGAACCCAGGGCTCACACATGCTAGACAAGCGCTGTACCCCTGAGCCACAACCCCAGCCCCAGATAGGAGGCTTTCATATTTAGCTTGTTTCTTAACTGGATCAAGGGGTTCAGAGCACAGCCTTTAACCAGTAGGACCAACAAAGCATTCTGCAGCTTCTGGGGCCCAGCATTCAGATCCTCAGAAATTAAAGATCCCGTTTCTACTTTGAATCTTGGGTCTCAGAGCAGAGGGGAAAGCCAGGGGGTGGTCTGTGACGTGCTTTTCCTGTAGACCTCATGGTAAGGGCGACTGTCCAAGGCCAGCAGGGGACCCAGCACCCATCAGCCCATGGGCAGCCCATCTCCTCACAGGAATCTTGTTTTTGGCTGGGGTGGGGTGGTGGTGGAGGGGTGCCTGGGGTTCTAACAACCTCTTGTGTTCACTGTTTCTAACATCAGGTTGTGGCTTTGGCTCAGAGGTCTCAGCCAATGGCCAATGATTTTTTGGGGGCGGGGGCAGTAAGTTGACATTTGCTGCCAATTTTTATCTGACCCAGTCAGAAATCTGAGGTGTCTGAGGTGTTTCTTACACAAAGAAACAAAATGGACAGAAAGCCACAGTTGCCCCCTGCAGTGATGACCACTCACTGGAACTTTGTTTCCTTTGAACTTGCATCTTGTGGCCATGAGCTAGGCAAACCCGGAGGCCAAGGGCCCTCTTAGAGCATGAAGTGACCCTTGGTACCCCCAGACCCAGAGATCAGGGAGACCAGTGCCTAAAAGAGTTTCAGATCTGAGAGGAATCTACTCATGACTTTTGGGTCTCCATGAGGAAGACAGAAGACCCCCAAAAGGGGGGGGAGGCACCTTACTTGCCTTCTTCAAGGGGGTCTCAGGGTCACCAGACATCTCCTTCAGCACCTTCCTAGAGGGGCCAGAACCCACCCCAGTGTTTCCTCTGGTAGATTTTCATCCACTGACCCCCAAATAGAGGTGCAGGGCTTACAGGGGAGCCTTAAAGGGAACTGGATGGAGGATCGGAGGTGGCAACAGGAGGAGGAGGAGGAGGAGGAAATGCAAGGATCCAGCCTCAGAGAAGCCAGTGTGGGGAGAGGAGTAAATGATCAGCAGGTGTTCAGAAACGGAAGGTCAAAAGCCGAATATCTTCTCTGATAAGTGGATGCTGATTCTTAGTGGGGGGGGGGGGGTAGCAGTGAAGGCAGTCTGGTTTGTGTAGAGGGGAGTGAGGGAGGGGTGGGGCGGTGGGATGGAGAGGACAGAGATTGAGATAGACATGCACGGCTGCACTACTGCAGTGAGTCTGCACCAGGTACAGAATGAGAAGCTGTGCTCCACTTGTGAACAGTGTGTCAAAATGCGGTCTACTGTGGAATGAATGAATAAATAACAGGGGTTCAGTTGACTGAGAAATTTCCATGCGAGAGCAGGAGCCTATAGAGAGAGAAATGTTACAAAAATGATACCCTGAACGTCAGCCTTTGATTGACCCGAGTTTAGATCCTAGAGCTCTTTTAAAAAATCTTTTTCCTTCTTTTTAAGTACAGGACAATTCTGTTTTTAATATCCTCATTCTTAAATATCTGTAAACCTCTGAAGGCAAACAGGGAAGTTTCTGTGGCTGATGAGAACAATTGGTGGACTTTGAGTTGCTTGTAGAATCACACTTAGGTCTTTATAAAGATTCAAGTTGCAGCTGAGTGCCGTGGCGCACGCCTATAATCCCAACTGCTCAGGAGGCTGAGGCAGGAGGATTGCAAGCTTAAGGTCAGCACCTTAGTGAGTGCCTGTCTCAAAATAAAAAATAAAAAAAGCTATAGCTCGGTGGCTGAGTGGTTGCCCAGCATACATGAGACCCTGGGTTTGACTCCCAACACTTGAAAAAAAACAGTCGCAAGGCAAGGGGGGTTGACATTAATTTTTTTAAAATTGGGTGGCAGCCTACTGTAATGAAGGGGCTGACCCATCTGTCTGTCATCTTGTCTTTCATATCAGAGAGCAGATTTCCAACTAAGATGGAAAAAAGATTTTTCTCTGCCCAACATAGAGCTATTTGAAGTGTTTGAATACACCACTTTCTTTCTCTTTGAGTGTATGGTTCCATTGTTGCTTAGGAGAGAAGGAAAAAATCTCTTATGCTCAGAATAAAAGTCAGAATTCCAAACCAACAGTACATGTTCAGGTGACTCAAGGCACAAGTATAAATCAAATTAATTTTTACTCGAGACCAAAACTAACAAAATCTTTTATGACTTTTCCCAAGGTCTTCAGAAGAGGGAGCAAAAGATGCAACCCTTTCACGAGGCAGACCATTTGCAAAGATGGGCAAGAAGAAAGAAGAGCTGAGACAGCTCAGTGGTCGGTAGGCGGCGGCCAGGGGGTGCGGCCCCTGCTCCTCCCTGACAGGGTCTCAGGGTTCCCACCTGGTGGGTGGCTGCCTTCCCACAGACCCCAGACACACTGACCCCATCGAGGAACAGTGAAACAAGAAAACAAAAACTGTTCACAGAGGAGGAAGGAATCCCTAACAATGAGAACCCCAACAGCCGAGCATCACACAGATTCAAAACAACAATTCAAACTAATTTTTCTTCAGATGTTTTTCTCCTGAATTTAAGGAATTAATGTACTAAAGAAATAAGAGTTACATTCAGTGGAGTGGAAGTTTAAACCAGGGACTCAGAGATTCAAAAGGTCTTCTGATTTAAAGAATTTTAGCCAGGTGTGGCTAAAATTAGCACGCCTGTAATCCTGTGACTTGGGAGGCTGAGGCAGGAGGATCATAAGTTATAGGCCAGTCATAGCAACTTAGTGAGACCCTGTCTCAAAACATCAAAAGGACTGGGGATGTAGCTCAGTGGTTAAGCACCTCTGGGTTCAATCCACAGTACAAAAACTAAAAATATTTTTAAAATTTGTTCGATTCATTAATTAATTGAAATAGGGTCTCACTAAAATGCTGAGGCTGGCCTTGAACTTATGATCCTCCTGCTTCAGCCTCCCGAGTTGCTGGGATTATAGTCATGTGCCTTGTCCAGCCATTATTTAATATTTAAAAATGAAGTTGTGACATTATCAGACAGACCTAAGATCAAGCTAAAGGACAATCCTTAGGACTGAATGTATTGTCTGATGGTAAGAGGGACCTCATCTTTCCTCATTGTTCATTTTCTTATTGTTGAGGGTATGTTTTGGGGTAGATAGAGTGATTCTCTCTTTTAACCTAGTCACAGTTCAGAAGGCAAGGTCAAGGAGACAATGCACAATGACTTTTGGGACCATCTTAAGGAACAGCTAACAGCTACTCCCCCTGACTTCAGTTGTGCTCTCGAACTTCTGAAAGAAATCAAAGAGGTGAGTGACTTCCATTTGTAAATAGAAAGTTCCCAGATATCCTGAGCTAATACTGAGTATCAATGACTAGCAAATCCTAACTGAACATGGTCCATCAATCAGTCACACAGAAATTTGAACAGGAATGGTTTAATATCAAAATAACTCTGACAACAGAATTAGAGAAATGACGGTGCTTGCCAGAATTTCATTCCTTTTTATGGCTGAGTGATATTCCATGCTTTGGATAAACCACATTTTCTTTATTCATCAGTTGATTGACATGTTTGCTTCTGTCTTTTGACTACGGTGAATAATACTGTTATCAACATTGGTATACAAGCATCTATTTGAATCCCTGCTTGGAATTCTTGTAGGTGGATGCTTAGAAATGGAATGGCTGGATCATATGGTAATTTTATGGTTGACATTTTGAGGAACTGCCAACTCCTCCACAGCAGCTGTACATTCCCACCACCAGTGCACCAGCGTTTCAGTTTCTCTACGTCTTCGCCAACACTTTACATATTCTAACTTTTTTTTTTCCCTTGGTGTGTAATACTGAGGGTTGAGCCCAGGGTGATTTTACCACTGAGCTACATCCCAAGCCCTTTTTATTTTTTATTTTGAGACAGGATCTTGCAAAGTTGCTGAGACTGGCCTTGAACTTGTAATCCTCCTGTAGTAGCTAGGATCACAGGCATGCACCACTGTGCCTGGTGCTGTGTTCCAGTTTTTTGATCATAGCTTTCCTAATGGGGGTGAAACATTATCTCACTGTGGATTTCACTTGCGTTTCTCTAATGGCTACAGATGTTGAGCACCTATTCATGTACTTACTGGCCATTTTTACATCTTTGAAGAAATGTTTACCCAAGTCTTTTGCCCATCTTTAAATAGGGTGTCTGCCTTTTTGTTGCTGACTTTTAGGTGTTCTTTACACATTCTAGATACTTTATCTTTGTAGATATATGACTTGCAAATATTTTCCTATTCTTTGATTAGTGTTTTCATATTTTTTTTTGTCTTATGATGCTCAAAAGTTTTAATTTTGATGAAGTTTACCAAATTCAGGATCATGAATAAGTCTATTGATTTTTTTCCTTCTCTGTAGTGCTGGGGATCAAACCCAGGGCCTCACCCACATTAGCAAGTGCTCTTCCACCAAGCCATACCCCAGCCCTTCCTATGATCTGTTTTAAGTGTTTCATAGTTTCAGCTCTTAGGTTTTAGATCTTTGATCCATTTTGAATTATTTTTTAATAAATAACTTCATTCAGCTTCATTCTTTTATGTGCAGATATTTTTTTCTTTTATGTGCGGTATTTTTCCAACACCATTTGTTGAAAAAGATGTTCTTTCCCCCATCAAATGCTCTTGGCCTTGCTGTTCAAAATCATTTGACCATGTTTCCTTCTGGGATCTCTCTCTGTTGGTCTATATGTCTGTAGTTTTTTTTCCATTAAATGCTTGGTTGCTTATGGGCCATTTTATTTGATGATGTATTCCTGTTGTGCTTGTCCACTGAGATTGGCTGGGTCCGTCACACAGCACCTAGCTCCTGGTGGGAAGCTCAGCCCTATGGTCACTTGATGCCATAGGCTCAGTAGGGAGCCATTTCTCAAAAGGCAGATAGTTATCTGCAACGGAGGGTGTCGATGTGCTTCAGAATCCCAAAGGTCTATGTTGGGATTCTCCTACAGTTGCTTGCAAGACGTTTCTTCACAGCATCCTTGATGACCACGGACACTTAAGGTGCCATTGGGTCTCCTGGCTCATAAGACCCAGGCTGTAGAGTGGCTTGTGCTGCCGTCTGAACTTGCTGCAGAGCCTGCTCTTGCTCTGCTACTCACTGGAGATTTGTAACCTTATGAGTGATTCTTAACGAGTAAACTCGAATCTGGTGTATTGCCTCAAACATCCAGAAAAGCCTCCCAAGTGTGCTTCTGTTGTGATGGTAGTGGTTTGAAGGTAGCAACTTGTTACTTGTTTTTCGTCTCGGAGGGGATACCTGTTAAGCCCAGACCCCTGCAGCCGTAGAAACCACGAGGTGTGCCGGCCTCTGAGTGTATGTGGGGGTGGTCTCCGTCTTCTGGTCTGCATCATCTCTTTGAGGCGTCTCAAGCGCTCACTGTGTCCTGCTCACGGGATCCAGGGGCAAGTGTTGGAGTTCAAACCTCACTTACGGGCCGACTTGTTGGTCAGTCAGGGTACGGTAGGAGGCAGGAAGCACGCCTGGTTTGAACAGAGACGCTTCTGAGATGTAGGAAATTGCTGGGAGGAGAGGGCCGGAGCCAGGGAGGAAGGCCCTTCCTCCTGAGAATCCCTTTGGTGCCTTCCATGCACAACAGCCTCCCAACCAGCAAAGGAACAGGAGTTCAAGGACCAGCCCCATCTTCTCAGAGCAGGCGCTGCAGGGCTGGTTTGGAACAGTCTCCCAACTGGTAACTGTCCTAACTCGACCGTTAGGATAGGGAGTGTGAGCAGCGCCGTCTTCTCTAATGTGAAGGTGGACGGGGACCTGCTCTGACACACAGCGCTCCCCTGGATGAAGCCTGGGGCCCAGGCCTCGCCACAGTGTGTGTTCCAGAGGCAGAGAGGTGAATCCGAATCCCTGTCCACCGGGAACTTACATTTTGGGGTTTAACAGGTGACTTCAGGGGCCTCTGAGCAGCTCCCTGGTCTGTTTGGTCACTGCCTCTCCAGGAGGCCTCCCTTTACAACTGAATGGTCACATCATGTGATGACATTTGATGTTTGTTGTACTCTGTACTTCTTAATCACACTCCTTAATTTTATTCATCTCTTTATCCCATTTTGTATAGAAAATGTTACATTATTGCTATAATTGGTCCTCTTAAAATCTGAATTATCATTGGCCTCTAAATAAAGATAAATAATATCCTATAAGGAATTTAGAGGCTCAAATTGTGTTCCTCAAAAGATACAGGCTGGGATCCACCTTTTGGCCATCTCACCAAGCAGTTCCTGTCACATACGCAGGAAGGAGAGAGGAGGGGAGGAGAACAAAGGAGGCCCAGGATGCCCACCTCCTGGGGTACCAGGACACCAGCTATGGCCCCTCTCCCTCCTGGGAGAAATCTGTTATCCCTTTTAAAATAAACCCTTCTTCATATTCTTAAAAAAAGATATAACCTGGATGGCTGGGGCTGGGGCTCAGTGGTAGAGCACTCGCCTAGCACGAGTGAGGCCCTGGGTTTGATCCTCATCACCACATAGAAATAAATACATAAAACAAAGGTGTTGTGTCCATCTACAACTGAAAAAAAATCTTAAAAAGATACAGGCTGTCCCTGGCTAAAGGGGTGGCACAGGGCTGGGGTGTGGCTCAGGGTAAGAGATTTCCCCACTGGGGAAAGTTGGGACTCTGAACAGAACCGGACTCCTCTTGACCTTCTGTCCTGGGCAGATCTTGCTGTCACTGCTATTACCACGTCAGAACCGCCTGAGAAGTGAGATTGAAGAAGCTCTGGACATGGAGTTGATCAAGCAGGAGGCAGAACACGGAGCCCTGGACGTCCCTTACCTTTCAAAGTACATCCTCAACATGATGACTCTGCTGTGCGCTCCGGTCCGAGATGAAGCCGTACAGAAACTCGAGAACATCACCGACCCCGTTTGGTTACTGAGGTGTGAGACTCATGCTGACCCCCGAAACCTGCTCCTGCCCCGGCCGGGGAAAGTGGAGCCAGACACGGGTCATAGCCATCGTCTGGGCTGACTCTTCCCCGCCAAAGACCTAACACCCCTGTTCTCCTCTCGTCTTTTCCAAAGACGGCCCCATCGTGGCCTTGTCTGTGGGGGACTCCGCTGTGTGACATGCTACCATAAGACAAAAATCCTCTCTCCTAAAGAGTGAAGCCATCCGTTCCCCGGGTTTTCTCTTGCCCATTTCACATAGTCTAAGGGTCAGTGATGGATAGCTGTAGGAACTAAGGAACCGAGACCCAGGAAGAGAAAACAAAGAAGCCGCCATTGCCCAGAGAGTCAAAATAGCATCCCCTGTAATCCCACTGCGCGGAGGACACCCCTGACAAGCTGGTGTGTCCCTCCCTGACCACCCTTTATAGGCGACAGCAGAATGACCACTGTGGGAAGAGACGGAGCTCTTCCTAGTTGTGCCACTCCCTCCCTCTGGGCTTCGGGTCATGTCCCGTGTCTGTAGACGTGGGAGGTGGGACTGAGTGGGTCCTAAGACCTCCCCGATCCCAGAGAACAGAGACGCCATGACCGCCGCCCAGGTGGGCGTCCCTCACTAGATTCCCTTCATGGTGTGACTGTTCTGTCTCCCGTGTCAGAGGGATCTTCCAGGTCCTGGGCCTGATGAAGATGGACATGGTGAACTACACCATCCAGAGCCTGCAGCCACACCTCCAGGAGCACTCCATCCAGCTGGAGCGGGCCAAATTCCAGGAACAGCTCAACAAGCAGCCGAGTGAGTACATAGGCCGCGAGGAGCGGCGGAGGGGGGGAGGGGGGGAGGGGGGGAGCTGATGAGACCTTCCCGAGCCCATACGGACTCTTTTAAGAATAGAAAGTTTCTCCCTCAGGTAAGGGGAGGGAGAAGGAACTTGAAGACAGAGAGACCCCAAAGCACTTACTTACTAACCAGGACATTTTGAAAGGAACCTTGGTCTTCAGGCCCCAGGGGAAAAGGTGCCAAAGATGCTGTCACCCCCGCTCCCCGCCCCAGGTCTCCTGGACCACACCACCAAGTGGCTGACGCAAGCAGCGGCCGACCTGTCCACTCCACCCTCCGCGGCCCTTGACCCGCCTGACTCTTCCAACGTGGCGGGCCCTGCGCCAAGTGAGGCAGCCAGCAACTCGGAGCCCCTGAGCCCCACGATGGTGCTGTCCCAGGGCTTCCTGAACCTCCTTCTCTGGGACCCTGAAAACGAAGAGTTCCCCGAGGTAGGAATGTGGGGGTCTTGCCTTGGTCTGTATTCTGGCCTCTGTCGCCACCGTGCTCTCCTGAATGACCGCTGACCTCTGCTCCCCAGACCCTGCTGATGGACAGAACCCGGCTGCAGGACCTCGAGTCCCAGTTGCACCAGTTAACCATCCTGGCCTCGGTCCTGCTCGTGGCCAGCAGTTTCTCTGGCAGCGTTTTGTTTGGTTCACCCCAGTTTGTGGATAAACTGAAACGCATTACCAAGTCCCTGATGGAGGAATTTAAGACCAGGTGAGCGCAAGGTCTCTTAGAGTAGACGGTGAATCACTGCTCCCTGCCCACCACAGACCACAGGCCCTCGGGGGCCACCCACAAGCAGTGGTTTCTTTCCCTAAGTGATCTTGAGGCTTGTGACAAAGAAAAATAAAACTTTCTTCCAAAAAGGGTAGTGTGGAGGATGCTTAGTAGCAAAGGGGTCGTTAGACACCAGCCCTTCATTGTTGTGGGAACGTCACGGCTGGTGTTAGGCATACCCAGGAGTTGGTCAGTCAGCCACAGTGACTGAACACCCCTGAGTCCAGGCAGAGAAGAACCAGAGGCCAAGGTGAGGACTGGGATGTGACTCAGAGGTCACGCCGAGCCTGCCCGGCACTACAAGGCTCTGGGCCAATTCCCAGCATCACAAAAACCCGACCCCACCAACCCCAGAAGGACAGGATTGTAACTGATGAGGTAGGACAGAGGACCAAGGAAAATCTTTAAAATGTCCATATAAAGGCCACGGACAAAGGAATGTGGATGGTGGCTCCTGGGGCAGAGCTAAGCCCCTTCCAGAGTTGGTTTTATAGTCTGTCTTCCAAGGAGTAGGACGTGGTACTGTGGGTGGAAACAGGTGGTGTCTTCGAAGGAAGCAGAGAGGACACAGTACCTGGACAGGGGCCTGTCCACGGGGCCTGGGCCTTGCCAGGGGGTGGGGCTGGGTAGATGGCTGGGACTCGCTCTCAACTGGGCCTAAATTCCTGTGGAGTTTGCTGTGTCTCTGTGCCTCTGCCAGGGTCACCACTGGGTGCCAGCTGACTTTCTTTCCTGGTCTAGGCCTGAGGAGGCTATGAAGACTGTGAGCGAGCAGGTGTCTCAGGAAATCCACCAAAGCCTCAAGACCATGGGCCTGGCTGCGCTGAGCAGTGAGAACACGTCCTCTCTGACAGGGCAGCTCGAGAACATCGCCAAGAAGGAGAACTGCGTCCGCAGCGTCATCGGTGAGTGTCCCAGAGGGAGTGTCCCAGCCCAGAACGTCACTCACTGAACCACAACAATTACAGACCGGGTCACTGGGCAGCCGCCGTTTACCAGGCTGGAATTACGTCCCTTTGCAGTTCAAGGACTGACTATGCTCTAAGGAAGATTTGCTCCCAGGGATTCATGACCCTTTGGGTGTGGGATATTGTCCAAACTGGACACGTCACCCTGGCCCACTGGGTGTTCTCTCAACTGTAATCTGAGACCCTTGGCATCCCCCAGTAGGGACATACACACACACACCCCTGCCAACAAGAAATTATTGCTGGGCTGGGGTGCCGCTCAGTAGGACAGTCTGCCTAGTGTGCATCAGGCCTGAGTTCCATCCCCAGCGCCACAAAAACAAAACAACAAACAGTGTTGCTGAACAGGCTGAAACCCATGTCCCCAGGGTGAGGAATTGCCCTGTCCACCTGTTGGAATGGAGACCCTGGACTTGGGCAGCTGAGATCCTCCTGCAGGCCAGATTCTCAGTAGGATGGACTGATGGCTACTTAGGCCTTCCTGAACTCTCAGAAACTGACCCTTAAGTGCTGCATAACCTCAGCAAAGCCACCTTCCCTTTCTGCGGGGAGTGGGCGGGCTGCTTCATCTCTGAGCTTGGAAGGCGGTGAGTGGAGTGCAGGCCCAGTGCTTCTCCCTGAAATCTGCCCTTTCCCCCCTCTCTCTCTTCCTGCTCACAGATCAGCGGATCCACTTGTTTCTCAAGTGCTGTTTGGTTCTTGGAGTGCAGCGATCTCTGTTAGACCTTCCCGGAGGCCTCACCCTCATTGAGGCAGAGCTGGCGGAACTGGGCCAGAAGTTTGTGAACCTGACACATCACAACCAGCAGGTGTTTGGCCCCTACTACACGGAGATCCTCAAGACCCTCGTCTCCCCGGCTCAGGCCCTGAGCGCCAAAGTGGAGTCTCTCTGATAGCACCACTCAGAGCCCTGGCATATTGGACTCAGGAGAAGGCCATCATCTTCCTGGGTAACGTCACCTTGACTGGCAGGGCAGCGAGGCCTGATCCCCACCGCCAGTATGCCAGGGCTGAAGGGACTAGCAAGTGAATGCCAACTGGTCCAAACCCATTCACCAATGAACATTCAAACTGCAAAGTAAAAGAAAAGAAAAACAAAACAAAAACAACCCTCCACTCTTCCTGTGCTTCAGCTGAGGTCAGGCCCTGGCCCTCAGCCCAGAGCTAGCTGAGAAGTCAACAGGCCCCATGTCCCCTTCTTTGGCCTTAGGTCCCCTTTAAGCACGTGCAGCTGAGCATCCAAGACACTAGGTCCTAGCATTAGTTTCTCTTAAGGGTGAAGCATTTCTCTGAGAACTCCCATGGAATTATCCATGATGTGAGTCTAAGGACTTCTCGGGACGCCTTTGTTTCGTCCAGTTCAGATGGGCAGAGGGCATGGTTGGAAGCAGTTAGGAAGCTCATGGTCAGGACTAGATTCCCCTGAAGGTTTCAGATGATCCCAGAAGTAAAGGAACAGGAAAAGCTGGATGCCCATGGGCGCTGGGGACAGGGATCAGCACTCACCGGTCCTCCCAGGTTGTCGGGGTTCAGCTGGGGCCTTTAGGTCAGTTTTCCTGGTCCTGTTCTCTAGCCCAGCGAGTCTCCTGCTCCGTCTCTGAGCTTAGAACACCTGTTCTTCAGACAGAGGGATGATTGTGCTCAGAGGGGGCGGGCTTCCCTCCAGCTCCCCTCTGGTCTGGGAGGGGCTCCTTGTCACTGATAGACACCAGTCGGGAAGGTTCTAGGAAGGACCTGCTTCTCTCGGACTGTAGGTTTCCAACCCATGGTTTTCAGGCCGACTGCAACAGAGCAGCCCCAACATAGAGTGGTTGAGATGAGGCAGGTGTGATCCAGATGTGATCTCTTTGTAATGGACAAGAGAACATGAAGGTGCACTAGGGTGCCTTCTCAAGGGGCGGGAAGATCAACAACATTCGCCATTCAAGAGACGGAGGTGTAACGCTCTGAATGTAGCAGTGGCAACACGGAGAGATTTGAGTTCTAGATCTAGGGCTCTCCCCTAATGGAGGCCCTTTGCTAGAGGATAGAGTCTAGGGGTGACCAGAAAGCTGGGGGCGTGGATCATTCCAAGTTTCCAGTCTCCTACCTGCACAGCCTCAGGACAGGGGAGCCCAGAAAAGGTGGTGTGTTGAATAACAGTGAGGCTTGGTGAACTGGATTCTCTGATTTGCAACAATCTGATTTTGAAGCCATCCACATTTTGGAAGCCTCAGGCTCTTAGAGGCAGAGGTGCTCTTGAGGGATTCCTGTGGGGAAGAGCACGGGCTGTGGCGCTGACGCCGGGCTGGCAGTAGAACCTGACTTTGTACTCAATCATTAAAATCTGGAATAATCAACAAACTAGATATTTCGAATTGTTTTTTCTTGTGCTTCTACATGGAAGAGACAAGGATCCTGTCTCTAAGTCCATTCAATCCTCCTCACTGTTTTGAGGGGATTTAGTATTTTTTTGTATTTTAAATTGTAGATAGAACATGAAGTTTGCTGTTGGTGATACTGAATCATTCACAATGGCATCCAAGATCCTGGCTAAGTCCAGAACATTTTCATCAGCACAAAAGGAAATTCCATTCTAGTGACAAGTGGCTCCGTCCTGTCCCCTCCTCGCCCCTGGTAACCACTGACCTGCTTTGTGTCTTGATGGGTTTTCTGATTCTGGATAGTTCACGGATCCTTTTGTTTTCCTTTGAGCCACGCTGGTTGAGCCCAGGGCCTTGGACATGCTAAGGCAAGACCACCACAGAGCTGCATTTCATTCCCCAGCCTTCGCGTGTGTGCTCTGGGCAAGCGCTTTACCAACACTGAGCCACATCCCCTTCTCCCCAGCCCTTTCTACAAAACTTATAAGACAGGCTGGCCTCAAACTTGGGATCCTCTTGCCTCTGCCTCCTGAGTAACTGAAACTACAGGTGAGCACTGCTGTGTCCAGCTCATGTAGCTTTTCCTGACTTCTGACTTCTTTCAGTTTTCAAGATTTATAATGTAGCGTGTTTATCATGAAAAAGTTGTTTGAATGCTTTTTCCTGAATCAAGAAATGATCATGGGGTTTTCTTCATTGTATTTGTGTGACATATTAACATGATTTGATGTTCCTACGATGAATCACCCTTGCATTCATGGGGTAACACCACTTGAAAATGGTGTCTGGTGGCTTTTTTTCTGGAGATGGGGGTCTTGCTATGTTGTTCAGACTGGCCTCCAACTTCTGGGCTGAAGCCCTCCTCCTGCCCTAGCTTCCTAATTGGACTGCAGGTGTCTGCCACCGTGTCTGACAATAGAATCCTTTAAATATGCTGTTGGATTCAGTTTGCTAGTATTTCATCGAGGATTTTTGTGTTCTCATAAAGGATATCATGTTGTAGCTTTCTTGTGTGCCTTTGCCTGGCTTGGAATTAGGGTCATTCTGGCCTCCTGCCAGAGCTAAGAAGTGTTCTCTCTCCCCTTCTCTCTCATTTGACAAGAATGGTGTTAGTCTTTCTTTAAATGCTTGCTAGACTTCAGTAGACCAGGGAAGCCATCTGGTTGCAGAAGTTTCCTTGTTAAAAGCTTTTAATTACTAAACTCTGTATCCAATTTTTTTTTTCTTAAATCAGTTTTGGTCATTTGAATGTCCCTGGGACTTGATCCATTTCATGTAGGTCATCTACTTTGTTGACATACAGTTGTTCATGGTGTGGTGTTTTTTTTTTTTTTGTAATTTTTTTGTTTGTTTGTTTCTGGGGGATTGGTAGTAAACTGCCCCCACCCTGCATTTCTGATTTTAATTACTGTATATTTTTATTATTTTCAGTTGTTAGCAATAACTGCTAATTAATAGAAATTGTAATAAAGGTTTGTGAATGTGGTCTCTCTAAAAGTATTTCATTGTCCTCTCTCTCCTTGTTCTTGTGATGAGGTGGAGTGAGGTCGGGGACGTGGCGTTTGTCTTAGTCTGAACCGTTATTGACATTCTTATGATCTGTCAGCAGGATCCTCTGTTTGATTGTGGAGTGTTGAGAGGGTCTGTGCAGGCAAGGTTGATAACTGGAGCTCCTCAGTCGTTAGGGCTTTTCCTGACACTTGTAGTAAACAACTTGATGTCACTAATTGGAATTTCTCCTCATTGGAAGTTGTTTTTGTTTGTTTGTGTGCAGCGGATGGCGCCCAGGGCGTATGCTCTGCCACGGGGCCATTGATGAATGTCATTGCATCATCAGGAGTGAAGACCTTCTAGAACTGCACTTGTGTCTAGATCGATTGCTGATTGTGAGAGCTCTACCACTGCGCCCCCTTTTAACTCATCCAAGTACGGCCTCAGAGTTTCCATCCTCCGGTGATCATATGGGTGATTCAATGCTACCTTCCATCTGAGGACTGTACTCTGTAACTTTGTCCTTTTGATGCATTTGAAACACTTCAACACATTTCAGGAATGTCCACATCGAGGTTCTGCTTGTCTCTTCCTCTTCCTCTTCCTCTGTAAATGACTAAACAAGTCCTTCCTGTTCCTTTCTTATTGATACTTTTCAAGACTCGTGATATGTTCTTCCAGTTCTTCAAGCGTGTTGTCAAATCCCCCTCCCACAGCTTCTCTGGCTGCCTGGATGATATTTCTCACTTTTGTATCAATCTCTGGGAAAGCTGTGAAGTCACTCTTGATTCGATCTATATGTTCTTCCTGCAGGTATTTGCAGTTTCTGGTTTTAATTCATCCATTGCAACTTTGAAGAACGTTATTGCATCAGCAGGAGTGAAGACTTTCTAGAACTGCCTCATATCCAGATGAGGGTCTGCATCAATTACTGATTATGAATTTAAAAAGAAAAAACAGGCTGAGGGATGTGGCCTTGGAAAACTGAATAATTGCCCTGGCCACGGGGCTGAGGCAACGAGGTTGTATTTGAACAATTGGAATAACAACCTTGATATTGTCTTTTTTTTTTAATCTTTATTTTTATATGGTGCTGAGGATCGAACCCAGGGCCTCGCACGTGCTGGGTGAGCGCTCTACCGCTGAGCCCCAGCCCCAGCCCAAAATTGTCTTTTTTAATAGCAAACAGATCCAGAATGGCCAGCTGCATTGTCTAGTGATCGTAGGACTTGAAATTCCAGCCCTTCCTCTGCCACACGCTCTCGTTACTCCTGGGATGAAACGCTCCATCAACAAGATGTCTGTCACTTGTGCTTCCTCAGCAGGTTGCCAGACCTGGGCAGGTAAATTCTGCCTTTGGGAGTACACGTGTCCCCTTCTGCTTTACCCCCGGCTTTAACATGTGCCCTGTGGCATTGCCATGCAGAGTCCCTCTGTCCTGCCTCGTCCCCTCTCTGGTGCGTCCTTTGCTCTTGTATGCAGGTGGGTGCCAGTGAGCGCCTCTCCCAGGAGAGCCAGGTTCCCTCTCAGCTGATGACCCTGTGGTCATGCCCTTTCTCCTAACTTCAACCCTCCTGGAAATGTGCCAAACACAGCCTTGGCACTAATTTTTGTATTTTTCAGTCCACAGCTGATCTGGAATCTGTGTAACCATCCCTCAGTCATAGTAAATGGCTTGATGTCACTTGTTGCAGGGTGTCCCTGGCTGAGGCTTTTGTGTAGCTCCAGCTCTGTTTGGCACAGTGTGGCCAACAGCCATGGAACATTTTCTCTTCATGTTTTCCTGCAAATTTGATGCCTTTTCCATCACAACTAATTCATCGTACACGGTGGCCATGACTTTTGTATGTATGACAGGAGAAGTAGCTGGATTTCTTTTCCCTTCGTCATACATCCACAGATGAGTCTCACTGTAGATTTCAGCAACTCAGCACGATGTTTTTTCCTTTATTGAGTCAAGAGTGTTCACTTTTCACTTACGGGTGGCACTTGTGGCTTCTCTTTGGTACATGCAAATTGTCAGTGTCAGTACTTGTCGGGGTTTGGACCTGGAATGTCCCCCAAAGGCTTGTGTGCTGAAGGTGTGGCCCTCAGAGCAGGGATGTTTGGAACGGCTCTTGGGAAGGGACTGGATCATGAGGGCTCGACCTCATCAGTGGATTAATGGATCATTGATGGATTCATAATTTGGCATTATCAGGAGTCGGTGGAAACTGGGTGCTGGGGCCTAGTTGATGAAATAGATCAGTGTTGGCCTGCCCTGGAAGGGTCATCTCTCCCGGGCCCCTCCCCCCTGTCCCCTCCCCCCATCCCCTCCACTTCCCCGGGGACCATGAAGTAGCCGCTCTCTTCCACCAGGCGCCCTGCCATGATCACTGACTCAGCTCCAAGGCAACGGAGCCAGTTGACGATGGGCTGGAGCCTCTAAAACTGTGAGCAGAAGCAAACCTCCTCCTCTCTCAGTTGGTTTTCTGAGGTGCTTTATCCTAGCAATGAAGCCCTGACTCACATTGCATCCTTATGCTTTGGGGCCATTATTAAGTAAGATAATGGTTCCTGGAACATAAGTGCTGCCGTACCAGGGTAGTTGGTCTGGTGACTGGGATGGCTAGTAAGTGATTGGTGGGCAGGTAGCATGGAGAGGCCTCCGACTAGTGGTCATTTGTTTTGACTTAAAATAGTGCCGTTTTCCAATTTCAGGTACAATATTCAATAAGTTATGTGAGATTTTCAACATTTCATTATATAATATACTTGGAGCTGGGGATGTAGCTCAGTGGTAGAGCACTTGCCTAGTGCACGAGGCCCTGGGTTCCAATCCTGGCACTGCAAAAAAATAAAAAATCACATTCACGTATATGGTTTGCCCGACTGGAGGCTAATGCAAGTGTTCTGAGTGCAGTTAAGCCGGGCGAGGCTAAGTATGATGCTCGTAGTGTAGGTGTATGAAATACCTTTTCTATTTACGATGTCACAGTGCTGTTCCCTCTCCGGACGGGCAGAGCAGGCCAGTGCCAGTTTCCATTGCACTACTCGGGACGGCACGAAAGTTATGAACTATTTCTGGAATTTTCAATTTGCTATTTTCAGAATGTGTTTGCAGAAAACTGAAACTGCAGAAAGTGAGATGATGGGTGCAGGGGACTGCGGACGTTTGATCTCTGTTCAGTAGGTCCAAGGACTAGGCTTCCAGAGACGCTTTCGATATCTTATTTCCCCCCAGCAAATAGGCCATGTTTTCCTGTTTCCTTATATGTCTTTAATTTCTTCTTGGAGATCGGTTTTAATATCATGGTGTGATTCTGAAAGTCAGGTTTGCCCTTCTCAGGAGTTACTGCTGTTGCCTGTCGTGGGCTGCAGTCATCCACTGAGGCTGGGACTTCCCGCCTGGTTCTCCTCCACACCCCAAGACTGAGCT